TAGGTTGGAGGCCATCCCTAGTAGGTTGGAGTAGGTTGGAGGCCATCGCCAAATAGGTTGGAGGCCATCGCTAGTAGGTTGAGGCCATCGCTAGTAAGTTGGAGGCCATCGCTAGTAGGTTGGAGGTCATCCCTAGTAGGTTGAAGTAGGTTGGAGGCCATCCCTAGTAGGTTGGAGGCCATTGCTAATAGGTTGGAGGCCATCCCTAGTAGGTTGGAGGCCGTCGCTAGTAGGTTGGTAGCAATGCTGCCACGGTTAGAAGATCGACCCCGGACATGTCTCGACCGTCCGTTCCCCACTGCCTTTTGCAAGTAGCGGACAACGAACTGAGGCAAAGATGCGACCAATGAGTGCTGCTCCTAGAACCACAATGAAGCGGGCTTCGGTAGTTTTTCCAATGAGCAGTCCCAACGGAAACTCTGTCAACAGTGTGAGATTTGATCTCAACCTTCATTTAGATTCATAAAGAGATCGTCTTGGCAGAACGATGAACAAGCTCGCTCAGCATAGCTAAGCTAGGTAACACTTGCATCGATTCACGCTGCGTGTCTTTTAAAGGCTCCTTGCGCAAGGCCAACTCCATGCAGGCCAAGTTCCGGATGGGGTTCCCCGAGAAACCGGCCTCAGTTTTCCACCCTCGAAGTTCAAGAACACTTTCTTTGCCGCAAGACAAGTAAGACACAAATATGACAAGAATGCTTTTCAACCGGGATGAAACAAAACGCGCCTGAATCTCGGCGCATCGCTTCAGGAAAGAACGGCGGAGGGCATCGCCTGGCATCTCACGTTTGCACGCTTCGCATGGGGTTGACCAGCGGACCACCGTGGATACAACATCAACATGTTGATCTTCAGAAAAGAACCCCTGGAAATGCAGTTAAATCAACACGAGTCACGTTCAGTCCAAACCATAAGTTCCTGAGAAACACAAACCATTGCAATTAAGTGACCAGAATCAAACCAAAGAAAAGCACTCCCACCATGGTGAAAATTCCGAAACTCTGCTGGCAGCACTCATGTAGTTCACCAGAAAAACAGGAGACACCATGCAGCACATCTCGTCATCCAATTCCTTGAGCCGTTGTTCAACCATCGAAGATGTTGCAAGCTGCGAAAGAATGTTCAGTGTTTCTTTTGGGGTATATTTTCACATCCAAGAAAAGAGAAACAAAGGGACACGAAGCTGTTTTCAGGTTGCTTCCTCAATGCGGTGCTCGAAGTGCCGGTTGAAATGCTCCACGAACTTCGGTTGAGATCGACACCTCGGTTCCACACCGAAACGGTTGCGGAATTTCGAACGGCCACGAAGGTGTTCGATGCCTGATTGGGGAGGCGAGTTCGATAGATCCGTGGCGCTCTATCTAGGCAACTTGCTCCTAGTAGCTACTTGCTCCTAGTAGCGATGCCCTTTGCTCCTAGTAGCGTCCTTGCTCCTAGTAGTAAGGCCAGGAGCCCCTAGTAGCGATGCCCTTTGCTCCTAGTAGCGATGCCCTTTGCTCCGAACGTAGCGTCCGATCGCTCCTAGTGAAGGAACATCGGTCCAAAAGAGCTGTAAGAATGGGCGGACGCAAGAAGAATCATCCCTGGTCTCTGCCCACGAACAAAGGACTCCTTCATTTATGCTTCTCACTTTGTCACAGCCTGCGGTTGAATTCACTCTTTTGCAAACATAGGGACGACCAACAACTAGGGAAAGCTTGATGCTGCCCTCTGGTGGTATTTAATTTACACCTATATAAACTGAGAAAACAACCAATATCTTTTTGACAGTGTACTAAATCTATGAGTTCGCCTGAGGTCCAGTGTCCCTTCATCCTGTGTCAGAACTTGGCTCTCAGACTCTAAAGCCGCCAAAGCATTCGCCGTCTTCACCAGAAGCCTAGCCACTTAGCGGCTGGGATATGGAAAGCCTGAAACGGCTGAGGTGAAAGTTAACTCCAGCGGGCTCCACCGGGCTCCACCCGTTCCCGGTTCCCGTCTGCATCCCGTGCCTCATTGTGAGGTTATCTTCAGAGACACGAATCTTGTGGAGCAAATGAGCGACCACCATGTCGACCTCGGCTTCGACCGCTTGGACCAATAAACGCATCGCTTGTGATGCACAAACTGCATTGAGATGGGTGACACTAGTTACTCCATGTTACTTCCAAATAGCAAAGCAGCAAACACCGTGCGCTGGATAGCTTGTGATGGTGACTCGCAGTTGGTGCTCCGAGCGACGTAGTTCCGCTCCCTCAAGCGCCTCCGCGCCAGGAGCCGTGCCAATTGGCAGAGTTGCTCTGTACTGGCCTCGAGAAGGCTTCGCAAGACTTCACCCGCTCGGCACTGTTGTACCACCTGTGCTATGAATATATATATATACAGTATATGATTATATATGTAATTATATGTATATAATTAGTCTTGACTTGACACTTTTCAAAAAAGATTGAATACACTGTCATTCGGCAGGAAAAGGCATTCGAGGTATTTCGAGGTTGTGCATTTATTTTTAACATTTATAGCCTCAGGGAAACCAACCAGTGACAGCAACAAGGTGTCCTCAAAGTGTTCACTGGTCCGCAAATCTTTGGAGACATTGATTTGAATGGCCCGCACGCCTGCTTCACATAGTGTGGCACCTGAATCTTGACACGTGAAATTTTTGCTTTCCTCAACAAGCCATTGGGCCTCGCCAAGCAGCCGCATGTAGAGTTCATAGTCCTCATAACGCACTGAGCAAAAGAGCTTCAGGACCTTGCAGCAGGATGGCTTGCGGCAATTGCTCGGGATTGAATTTGCAGCACCTCAAGCAACTGGTTCAAGTCGAACTGATCGGCCAGGTTTTTAGCCTCCAAGAATCCAAGACACAAACGTATCAGCAACCATCAACAAGACTTTCCCAAGCAATAAACTAAAGAACAATTTTTAAGAGTCAGGGTTTAACGAGTTGAAAAGGTGGAGTTGCCTTCTGTGCCCCAATGCTTTCGTGAAGGCCTTCACTTCTAGCTTTTCCTATGAGTACCTCCTATTACAAACATGCATTCCGTCTCTAAATGGCTGTTGTGGTGTTGTGGCTGCAGGCCTGGGCAGCTAAATGCAGCCACAAAGGCCCTGTGGCTTGTCGACCCTTTTCTCGATGTCTGCTCTTCCTGTTGTGTCATTCAACATCCAAGCAACATGTTGGGTAAACGGGGGGGATAGTCCGGAAAGCAACATGCACAGGGCTAGAAAACCATGTGCTTTACAGGTCTTTAGATGCATTTTTCCATTTCGGGCCGCTCAACTCCAAGACGATGAGTTGAGTGGACTTTCAAGACACACAAAAAACCAAGGTCTGCCCAACAAAAGAACTAACGACAGACACAAACAAGCCTCAAACGCATATCTTCTAAGCCGAAGGCGCAACGCGAGTGTCCAGTCACGCAAGTAGAAGCCCGAACAAAGCTGTCCTCACCCTGTGTTTCCTTTTGATGACTACTTAACCCCTTTATGGTCTCACTCTTCATTGTACAATGACTGACATGTTTGGCTCAAGACTGAGAGAAACATGAAACAACCGCTTGCTTGCGCAAGGAAAAAGCACTTGTCACTTTGTTCCCACGTCCGGTGTCTTTCCAAGAATATTCCCACTGCAATTGCACTTTGTGTCACCCCCCCGAAAACCATGTTGGGTCGTCGGGAAGGTTAGCTTTCCGGGCTCGTTAGCCCCCCATTGACCCAACATGTTGGCCAGTCTTCTTGCGCTACCAAGGTGTTTACATTACATCTTTTCACTCGCACGTCTCAAAAGAAACAATCCGCCAACTGCAAATGACTCGCTTTCCTGTCCTCAAATCTTGGAAGAAATCTCGAAGGTTCAAGGCTGCCTGAGACAAGCAGGTCTGTGGAAACATGTCTTATAAGATGTGGATACCATTTCTGATCTACGCTCTCCTCACTTCACTTGGTGCCGTGACACCCTCGGCAACAAAATCACTCATTAACTCAAACCTCCCTTCCAGCCAGCCAACAAAGAAAAAGAACATACCGGAAAACAAAGACTGCAAGGATTGCCAGTCAATCGCCGGAAGCCGTTCTCCTCGCCTCTTGAAAGCTGCTTCTCCATCCGTTCTCGCCAGCAGCTTTGCCTTGGCAGTTCGATGACGAAAGGTCAACTAGGGGCTTCTGGCCTTACTACTAGGAGCAAGGACGCTACTAGGGGCTCCTGGCCTTACTACTAGTAACAAGAAGCTACTAGGGGCTCCTGGCATCGCTACTATCAGCGATCGGACGCTACTAGGCATTTCAGCGTGCCGTCTGGGGCTTCCTGACTGCGGGCGCTCTGAGTGGCGATTTCAAGGTCCTCCCGAGGCTTGGGAACGTGTGACACGGATAGACCTGGTTGCTTGGATGTTTATGGGCCTTTGGGCCGGATTTTGCGGGTCTTGCTGGACTTTCCGTGTTCTGCCAGCTGCGCAAAACTTCTTGTGAGAACCTGTTTAAGTGAGTCTACATCTCTTGCGTCACATAAAAAAGAAGGTGGCTTAGGCAAAGGATCGGGTGGTGCCTACCGTGTGCTCATAAGAAAGCAGCTTCCAGCAATCCTGTTTGGTGTAATTCGCTTTGTGGCCGGAGTCAGGCGGCGCCTGCCAAGCGTAGGCAGTGAAGGCTTCATCGTAGGTAGGCCGCCAGTAGTAGCTTCTTGTTACTAGTAGTAATGCCAGGAGCTACTAGTAGCTTCTTGCTCCTAGTAGCGATGCCCTTTGTTACATTTGTAGCTTCCGATTAGCCAAGTGGAGAGATACATCCATCTGGTGGAAATGCTTCATCACCCAGAGCCTGCGCTGGCGCTTCGGCCACTACCAGCGCTGCTTGCCTCAAGTGGTTGAAGCGAATCAAGGAAAACGCATGGTCTGCTTCGATCGGCCCAAGCCCGGGCGGTGGGCCAAACCTTTTCGATCTTGGCTCTGGGCGCGCGATCTCTTCGACTTGGAGGCCTCTCTGGACGACCAGGTGGAACCTTTCAAGTCTTTGGAGTGCTCTGCCTCTGCTGTTTGTAACAAACTCCAGAATTCATTGAAAGAGGAAGGAAAGAACGAACGAAAGACAGCCTAAAGGTCAAGAAACCAATGAAGAGAAAAACTAAGTGAGGGAAAAACAAACAATAAAAGCATTCTTGTTAGTAGTAGGGGGTGGTTGAGTCAAAAACTCAAGGCATCTGTCATTCTCCCAAGGCCATCCCTCCAGTGGATTCACATGGATACACCAAACATGATACTCATACGAGTCGAACGGTGATGTCTAGATTACTGCTTAAAATCTGAGCTCCGAGACGTAAGGTGTGACACTGGTGGCCTTGCAAACCATCTTTGTGAACGCTCAGCACTCTGGATGTTCAACTTGCCTTGCCTCCTTGGGGACGTTCATCTCTGGGCTTTCTGTCATTTCCGTCCTGGTGCAATTCTTCGACGGCTGAAATATGCCAACGATCTCCCAGGTAACATCCACAGCTCATGTCCATTCTCTCTGCTATTCTGCAGGCCTTGTTCGCTGTGCGTATCTTGGTTTCTGTCTGGTCAGCTGTCCCTGACCTGCGAGCGTCAGGTCCTGCGAGCATTCCCCTCTGGTGGGGACTCCTTTTGTGCCTCAACGGGCTGAGCTGCCGCAGGCTCTGGCCCCGGCTCAGCTGGGGCTGGCTCAATTGGCGGCGCCTGGAGTTGCGAGATCGAAAAGCAAACGACATTCGTGTTGATTTCAAGGCTGGCAATAGAGCATTGAAACCATTTAAAACCAGGGCCTTCTTGTAAGGAGGCCCCTTCTTTTTCTGATACCTTATCTATTTCGACACCCTTTTGCCCTTTTAAGTGTGTGACCCGAAGACCAACAGAACTCACTAGACAATTTCCAGGGCCAAAGAAAGCTCGGACAGACACCTCTGCGATCACCTCTGCGTTCGGTTCTCATTCCTTCCGGGCTTCGTCTTCGCACCTTCGGCACGTCCACGCCGGCCTCCGACCTGGAAAAGCTCGGACCGAAACGAGGAGACGATCGGCTTCGCGATCCGTTCGAAAGCCGAGCTCCGGTTGGAAACCGATCGCACAACACGGTGCGCCACCTCTGTGTTGGAACTTCAACACGTGGTGAGGCAGCCTGACTCAGGACAGCTTTTAAAGAGCTCTGTAAAGCTATTGCTTGCTGCGGCATTATTTCTAGATCCAGAAAAGGTTAGTCCCTAGAAAAGATGAGGGTTACTTCGGCTTTCCATGTAAATGAACAATCCCTGCAATGGATGTTCCCTTTCAACACATCAGCAACAATTAATGCCACACACACATGATGATCCTGGTGAAGAACGCAAGGTGAGACCGACTTGGCCCACCTTTGCTTGCCTGGGAGGTTCCGAGCTGATAGTCCTGAATCCATATCCAAAGCTTAATTTGATTATGGATTCTCACAGCTATGGTTTTCCTTTTTGTGAAGCCTTCCAGGGTGCTTGACAAACCGGCTGGAACAGCTTGGAACAACAAATGGCGGACCGGTCTGACCGAGTGTCGGACCGAGCTGGAGGAGAAGATGGAGAAGACTCTCCGACCTCGGTGACTGCGGAACGTCTCGATTCGGTGTCCCTTTCGAAGGAAACAGGTGCGAAAACACGAAAGAAGAAACAGGTGCATCGCTACTAGCAGCAAGAAGCTAAGTGCATTACTACTAGTAACAAGAAGCTACCTGGAGGAGCGATGTCGGACAGTGAGAATGGGGAGATGGAGAAACTCATAAGTCATGTCGGTCTCTCAAACTGAGGTTTCCTGCATCAGGACACCCGTACAGCTTCTTCCATGCCAAAAGATCTGCCTGGAATCACAAGTGCCATCTGTGACATAATTTGGCACTCACACTTGCACAATCTGCTTCTATGAAACATCCCTAGTAGGTTGGAGGCCACCGCTACTAGGTTGAAGGCCATCGCTACTAGGTGGAAGGCCATTGCTGCTAGGTTGGAGGCCTTTGCTATTAGGTTTCTCCAAGCAGGCTAATCAATTCTGCTTCTCCAAAGTCTCTAGACTCTAGACATCTCCATGGTTCCATTTTCTGAAAATGTCTTGCATGCTTATTTCGAGGCTACTTACAAGAATGCTGCCCTCTTTGATTTGTCCCGATCTTTTCTTCAAGCTTGGATTGATCTGAGGTGGTCGACGAGTTTGGTTCCAACAGGCAGACTGAAGGCCGTTTGTAAAGTCACCAAACAACACCAGTTTATAACTATACGCAAATAAAAACAACAGTCATCTCTCTGCGCTGTGTGAGAAATGGCCTTCAATCCTAACCTCAAGTGCCATTCTCAGTGTGTGAACCGCAACATACGATGGAAGGTCAAGTCTGGCAAGGTCAACTCACGGCTGAAGAGCACATCCTGAGGCCAGTGATGGGTGGTGGCCATTTGCCAAAGAACCTGTCTTGCTATATATCTTCCTACACCTTCCTACTGTAATCAACAATCGGGTTGAGGAACCCAACAGGTTGATACAACATGAAGGGCCGGGTCAAGGCAATGCTAGCCTGTGGTATCCTGTGGCCTTACGGCACAGAAAGGCTACGGTCACACAAGAGACCGCCGCATGACTGAGGCCATTATTTGTCACCTATGCACGGAGCCTGACTTCGCGCCCTACAAAACCATGTGTTTTGCAATGAAGTCTATCTACTTTTCCTAAATTTAGGGTGTCGTTTCGTGAATGCTTTTTTGAGAAAGATGTAGGAGCCCACAGGAAATGCAATGCACAACTCGCGCGCTTGTTTGCCGTTTTTTCACATGTCCACTGCCACGACCGAATCCTTCGATCAATGAGGAAAGATTTCGAAGAGAGCGACTTTGGTACATGTCGTCACACCAACAACTCATCACCATCGTGTTCTACTGATCACACGAACGAAGCGAGCCCTCCCAACCCCCCGAACCTCCCCTAGTACCTTCTGTCGTTACATCAACAACTCATCATCAATTCATCAACAACCCATCAACAATTCATCATCGGAAAAGCATAATTGGAACGACTACGCGTTCGGTTTCCGACCCGGAGGCATAAACGAGTTCAAGAACCGTGGGGAACTCGCGAACATTATGTACCGGTCAAGTTGTTTGATTCTTCTACCATTTAGCTCCCAAAAGTGAGTGCGAGAGGCATCCCTTCGCATTCTCTGTCGGTGCTGTCCTTGTGGAGAAAGTCTAGGCCACCCATCGCCCTTCGGCATGGCTCCATCCAGTGATCGCCCCGAAAAAGATACTCAAGAGGTTTAGCCTTAGTGAGGGCCTCCAACCTGCTAGCGATGAAAATGATCCCAGGGGTAGAGAAGCCCAATCTACAATGGAGACCTAGATGGAATTCTTGACAGTCTCAATCCAGCTGCGGCAGCTTGATGCTCAAAATGTGCCCGAGAGCAAACGAGACCAACATGAGGTGAATGAGGTGACTGAGTCTACAAGCAGAGTGGTTGATGCAACATACGGATCTTTCTAGAGCAACGTAACTTGGACGCATTCTTTGAACAACACACTCCTTTGAGCTTAATTATGCCAACTCAGCTCGGATCTTGAACTCCAGAAACTGTGCGCTGCCGTGTGATGAACCCCACTACTCACTAGTCAGCTGCTCCCATCCTCAAAGTTCGAGAGTAACACACACACACACACACGCAGCGATGCATGGCACATGTCCAGCAACTGGACTCCTTTTTCCAAAAAAATCGCCGCCAGAAGCGGTCGTCTAGTGAAACCCGATCTCTTTCTTCGGCCCCCTAACTACGTTTCCCTACCTCCTCAGAGCTCTGGGAAGATCGTCGGGTAAGAGAAGGTGGCAAAAGGCTCATAGATGCCCTGGTCTGGGGGGAAGAAATTCTTGTCCCAGTTCAGAGCTGCAAACTTCTGCCCATAATCGCCAAAGAGAACATCCTGCCGTCGAACAGCGCCAAATGGCGGTGTAAGGATGGAGTTTCTGTATGTTTCTGTGGTCAAAGCGGGAAGGAAATGATTTTTTTCTTTCCGGTGTCTTTTCAAATTGGAGACCTATATGGATGGAACATGGAACCTCGGTGTTGGAAGCCCAGCCTGGGTAATCAGCCCGACAATGGCCATCATCGCCAGGCGGCCGTTGTTCAACTCCTGGTGTCAAATGGATTTTCAGACTTTTTGTTGATGTTTTTCTTCGTTTTTTGCCCTTGCAAACAGCCTTTGCATGAAGAGGTTTCGGCGACTTCCGACTAGTCATTCATCCTGGTCAGAGCCAAAGCAGTTGCTGTTCACTGGTGTACAGAACTGTTTGCTCTCCACCAGACCATCATATTGCGATATATATATATATTTATCGCTTGCTTCCGGGACAACAGGTTCCTCCAAACCTGTGAAGGGTTTTGGAGGGTGTAGCTGTGATGCGTGCGCACCAACCGAACAGCATCAATTCACCTGTTGATGGACAAGTCTGGCATCACTTGGGCGTCTCCAATCCACTGCAAGTACCAATAGCTAAATTTCCCAGTGAGACCCTGTGGTTGTTGAACATCGATATAGTCTCACTGACGTGAAGCTGACCCAAATATACAAACGACTTCTGAACCCGAAGGTCGAAGGACCTCCCTCCTGGACAACCAGCCAGTCGGTGAGACTTGTCTCGTACGAAATGGCTGATGCAACTCAGCCTTCCTGAAGAGCAATGGCCTCCAACCTAATAGCGATGGCTAGCAATGGCCCCCAACCGAATTAATAGCAATGGCATCCAAACTAATAGCGATGGCCTCCAACCTAATAGCGATGATGGCCTCCACCCTACTAGCAATGGCCTCCAACCTAATTAATAGCAATTGCCCCCAAACTAATAGCCGTGGCCTCCAACCTAATAGCGATGGCCTCCACCCTATTAGCAATGGCCCCCAACCAAATAGCCATGGCCTCCAACCTAATCGCGATGGCCTCCACCCTACTAGCGATGGCCCCCAACCTAACGGCAATGGCCTCCAACCCAATAGCGATGGCCTCCAACCTACAAGAGATGGCCTCCAACTTACTAGCAATGGCCTCCACCCTACTAGCGACGGCCTCCAACCCAATAGCGATGGCCTCCACCCTACTAGCGATTGGCCCCCAACCTATTAGCGACGGCCTCCAACCTAATAGCAATGCCCTGCAACGTAATAGCAATGGTCTCCAACCTACCAGCGATGGCCTCCACCCAACTAGCAATTGTCTCCAACCTAATAGCGATGGCCTCCACCCTATTAGCAATGGCCTCCAACCAAATAGCCATGGCCTCCAACCTAATAGCGATGGCCTCCAACCTAATAGCGATGGCCTCCACCCTACTATAGCGATGGCTCCCACCCTAACAGCAATGGCCTCGAACCTAATAGCGATGGCCTCCAACCTAATAGCGATGGCCTCCAACTTACTAGCGATGGCCTCCACCCTACTAGCGATGGCCCACCTAGTAGCAATATTGCCTCCAAACTAGTAGCGATGGCCTCCAACCTAATAACGATGATGGCCTCCGCCCTATACCTAATAGCGATGGCCTCCAACCTAATAGCGATGGCCTCCATTTCTCCGTTTCTCCGTAAGATGCAGGCGCCGCAGCTTGTGGCGGGGGCAGCCTTTGCCCGGGTGAACTAAAGTGAAATGTCAGACAAATCACTACCGGTGAGGTACGAGGCACGAAATCGTTGCAAGAATCTTTCAAGGCGTTGGAGCCTTTCCGCAGCAAACCTTATGCTCGCACAGTGAGCCCAAAACACCACTGTCGACGATGAGGGCCGGACGTATGTGGAGCTGATTGGGATTCCTTCAAGCTTATATATTCGAATCAGGAACAGCCGAAACCACTTGGTTCGTTCGAAAAGTGGGAACATGCTTGCGTCTTCCTGGGTGGTCCAGTGCCATTTAGAGAACTTATGGGAGGGCCTGATGCCTCCACTGCCCGTTTGAAGGACAAAGTCAACTAAAAGGAAAAACCACGGGACGAATGCGGGTGGATTAAGCTATTGGACCATGCAGTGAGGAGACCCCAATTATCTCCTACGAGCTTGTGTGTGCTGGTACAAGGTCTACGAGGCAGAGCGGCAATGGTTGTCTCGACAACAGGCAATGGATGGGCCTGTTGTGGCGGGTCTGCAGCGGCAGGAGGTTGATCTCGTAAAACCGCTTCTTCACTGACCCGGATCATGCTCTGGTGAACCTGATCTCTCAGGATACGAGCTGCTGCAATGTCATCAGTCGCACACCTCCATTTGTGATGGAGGTCCTGAGGAAACAAGAGACTCCACTGGGCACAATGGTCGGCGTTGTCGTTACCTGTAAATGCCCATTGTTCGATCCAATTTGCGTGACTTTATTTTGATGGCTCGCAATTTTATGGATAGAGACAAGGGCACCATTCGTGGATCTGGCAAGCATCCACAGGACTGTCCAGAGGTCGAGGTCCTTGTGACTTAGCTTGCATGCATCTGGGGTCGACAAGGCTTGCTTTAAGGTGGTCACTACCTGTGCATTGTCACACCACAGCCGGACTTGGTGGCCATGGCGGAGCGCGTACCGGAGAGCACTGACTGCAGCGAGGATTTCAGCTCTGCCACTGGTTTGGCGTCTTCCAGGCACTCTTCCCTGGGCAAGCGGAAACCATTTGTCTGGATCAGCTGGGTGAGCCGCGACAAGTCCCCATCCTGCCAGTCTGGTGAATGGGCAGGTTGGATTCAAACAGGATCCATCGAGAAAGAGGTCTGTTGGCTGAAATGGCAGTGGCTCAAGCCAATCAGTAGTATCCGGGCAGTTTTGAAGGGCCTGATGCAGCTCTCTGACGGAACTGGGAAGG